AAGGATATGTCCTCCAATTTTTTGCATGATTGTTGAATGAGAGGCTCACAATAGCCAGCATGATTTCTTCTTTCCCAGACTTTAAGGCAGCAAAGGAGCTGAATCAGTCCTGTGCTCTGTCTTTAAAAGTATGAGGTTCAGGTGCATATGTTGCAGTTGCGAAGTAGAGCAGAAAAAAATAGAAGAATGTATATAAAGAGGAAGAAACACGAGGACAACAATGGCTTACTACAGCATGCAGTGGATGACTGGCAGTGAGGGAAATTTGGGTGCAGAAAGCCAGTGGGATGACTTGGGCAAGTCATTTTTTCTTAGCTGTGGGAAGGAGAGAGTGGCAAACCACTCCTGAAAAACCTTTCCCAGAAAACTGCAGGGACTTCTCCAAGTAATCACCAAGAATCAATGATAGAATAGAAGAAGAAAAAATCAATAGTAAAGGACAAGCAATCATGAAATGGACTAAAACTTGATAGAGCATTCATGAAGGCCCCAGAAAAGATATTCAGATGCCATGATAGGTCTATACATAGAAAGATGAGAACAGCACTAATAATGGTATTTCCCATGACACTAGGTTTCACTGTGGAAGTGAAAATTGGATCTTGAAAAATCAGAACAGAAATAGTATTGACACTTTTGAACTTTGGTGTTAGAGAAGACTCCTGGGAATACTTTGTACAGCTAATAAAATAAGCAACCAACCCAGAGTTCTAACCTGAAGTACAAATGACCAGGCTTAAGTAACCACACTTTAAATACATTTTGTGAAGATCTAACTTTTGGAGATGGCTATGATGCCAGGAAAGGTGGAAGGAAAGAGAAAATGAGAATGATCAACAGCAAAATGTATGTACTTAATTGCAGTGGCAATGGGTGCACCATTAGAAGATCTTAAGGATCAGGTTTTTGACAGATTGTCATAAGGAAAACATTTTTATGAATAAATATCACCTTGATTGCACATAATCATGAACTGTTATTTTTATACAGTAAAAGTTTCTTTGTGATAAAGGAAAGAAAAAAACTACACTCCTTATCAACTTCTTCAAAAGAGGAATTAAGCAACTATCATTAGGATTTATAATGTGTTCTAAAAATTCAAAATGTCCCATCAACCTAGCTTCATTTGTATTAAACATTCCTTGTTTATTACTTCATTGATCAATATTTAATTATTAACTTGTTTACTGTAGGGTTATCTTTCAGATACTTATTAAGCTGAAAATTTTAAACAAAGAAGTTATGGTTTTACTTCTTCTCCATATGCGAACTATAAAAAGAAAAATTATTAGCTATGTTTACGTTAAATTAGAACTGATACCTAATTTTAAAACAGCTGTTATAATCATATTAACATATTCCAACATGTGATTAAAAAATAGAATAATGTTACCCATATACTGTAAACGAACAAGTTAATGGCCAGTTTGCATTTCTAAAAGATTATGCATTTTAAAAAGAATGATGGAACAAAGTGGGGAGCATTATCAGGGAAGAAATACTGATGTTGATATTTTTTCAATTACCAAGAGAGCATATTTGTGAATTAGTTGCTGCTGTGCAGTTATTAAGAATATCTAAAGATAAATTTATTTAATTTATTAATCTAATTTATATAATCATTCATCACATGAGACGTGACTCTGAGCAGCGTACAGTAGAAGAATTAACTAACCATTACCAAAACCACATACAAGACATCATCTGGGATGGGCATGGATTTAAAGAGTAGGTGGCTAACCTCACAATCCTAAGGACCCTGTCAAAACTCCTCAACTTCAACAGGCTCAAACTATTCCCAGATAGCCAGGCAAGACTCCATGAACACATCTCCTCCAGACCTGCAGTAAAACCAGCGTCCAACTGGGAATAAATCCAAAAGATGCTGAGCAAAATCTTATGCACAGTCTTGCAAATATTTCTTAGGGTTCCCCCTCACCCTTACCCAGGAGGTTCATGGCACCTGAAACAGGACTCCTGGGCAGCAATCTGTGTACACCATAAGGGCAGAGAACCACTGTCACTTTTCCACACTTACTTTTGCCACGGTAAGCAGGACATGATGTGACCATGACAAGACTTCCCCAAGTTCAGATCATACAATCACTATTCTGATAGGTAGACCTGCTATGGAATATGACCACTGTCCTACATTGATAATATTGTAGAGCCTAGAGCCCCTCTCTGAGGGAGATGGGTTGTAAAAAATACAATGTGTTTTAAAAATTCAAAATGTCCCATCAACCTAGCTTCATTTGTATTAAACATTCCTTGCTTATTACTTCATTGATCAATATTTAATTATTAATTAAATTAATTAATTAATCAATCAATCAATATATAAATGGGAAAAGCCCATGGCTGTAATAGGGCCCATGAACTCCTGAGCTATCTCAGAATACATTCCAGAGGAAGGCAAACTGAAGTTCCCAGAACCATAAATCTGCTGAACTCCACTGCCAACCCAGAACTAAAGTCAAGAAGCTGAGGCAGGGAAATTGCTATTAGCAGGGAGGCTAGTAAAGCAGCAACAGTCCCAACTGATCCTTAGAGTCCAGCTTAATGAACAGGGTCTCACATTCAGAAACCCAGAGTTCAGTGCCCCTGAAGGCCATAAGGGAGCTTTAGATTACAATCACCATGTACTAGCTAATGCCATACTAAAAATGGACACATTTCTGAAAGGGCAATTCTCTTTGCTAGGCCAACCTAGGTTTGTCCAGGTAACCCCTCTGCTGCACAAGCTGCACTAGCTTCCAGTTTCTTTCCAGGTGCAATTTCAGATTCTGGTCAAAACCTTTAAATTCCTACATGGCATAGGGCCACATTATCTGTGGAACCACCTTTCCCTAAGATCAATTACCTGTCCTAGCAGGTCTAACAGATAGGGTGGGCACGCTCCTATTCCCTGCCCCTAAATATTGCCATCTGATGGGAGCTACTGTGCTTCCCCAAAAGTAAGACTTACTCCAAAAATAAGCCCTAGGTTGATTTTGGGGGGGTGGGCCTAATATAAGCCCTACCCATAAAATAAGCCCTAGTTTTGGGATGAGACTTATGCCTAAAAATCAAGTTAGGGTGGGGGGATGGAGCTGCCCTACGTGCCCTGCACATGTTTACCGTTGCAGCCAGGCCTCCCATGAATCCATACCTGCCTCGCTTCGCCAGCCCATTTCTGCAGGGGCCCCCGGCCTGCATTTTGTTGTCAGAGGTCTTCCAGAAAGGCCTCTGCAGCCAAGAACCGAGCAATGTATTGGATTGTAGCTCAGTTTCGGCTGTAGAGGCCTTTCCGGAAGGCCTCAGACGGTGAAATGCAGGCTGGAGCTCCATTCTCAGCTACAGAGGCATTTCCTTTGGCCCCAGAAGAAAAGGCAGGGGGCTGGGCGGGGCTGCCAGTGCTGCCGCCGCAAGGTGAGAATGTGGAAAAGACACCCCCTCCCCCAAAATAAGATCCGGTGCCTCTTTTGGAGGAAAAAAAGAAAAAAGTCCGGTAGGAAGCGTGTTTTTTCCATGGCAGCCCCTGCCCTATGGAATATTCTGCTCCCTGAAGTTCAGCAGGCCTCTACCCTTCTAGCCTTCTGTAAAACTTTGAAGACTGGCTCTTCCCCCAAGAGCTGGAATAAGAGACTATATGACTTGGTTCCAGGTTTTTATTGTTTTAAATGTGTTTATAGAGTTTTATTATGTTTTTTATCTTGTTTTTATTTTTGATTGGAGCTGGCAAAATGTTAGTTATAAGATGGGGGCCTATACCAATATTTTAAATGAATAAATAATAAAACAGATGGAGGCAGATAGAACCCACATTTTTTTCTTCTTCTTTCCTACCTTCTTGGGGCTACTCAGAGGGTGAGAAAGGTGTCCACAGTAGCCTGCCATTCTTCTCTTCTTTATTCTATTCTTCTCTCTCTCTCTCTCTCTCTCTCTCTCTCTCTCTCTCTCTCTCTCTCTCACTCACTCACACACACACACACACACACACACACACACACTGGCCCAGCCACCACTCATTTGCCAAATCCCCAGTATCCTACAAAGGAAGTAATTCAGTAATGGAGAAAGAAACAGGGAGCAACAAAGGCATCTGTCAGCAGAGTCCCCAGCAAAAATGCCTATGGTAGGACTGCCTGATAGAAGTGTCCCAGAGAGTCCCATGGCAGTCTGCTCTAAGCATCCAGCAATAAACCAGTCCTCACCAACACCAATAGCTGGTCTGCCAAAAACTGAGTCCAAAACTGGCTCCTCAGACCAAAAGATCCTTGTTCAGTCTGTGACAAGATCACACAATGCAGCCAACCATGAGTGGCTCAGCAGGCTCAGCCAACAAGATGTTGCAAAAGGTCACAAAAATGCTGGGAAATGCTGGAAAACAAGCAAGCAATCCACCAAACAAGGTAAGGATGATGAACGGAGCAAAGCTACAAACGCTGCTGTCCTCAGGTATACCACTCATCATTACAATCCAACCTTCCCTTAAGTTTCTTGAGCCTGCAGTCCAGACATGTCAAACTCGCGACATCACATGACATCGCGCAATGTATCGGGACGGTTTTGCCATTGCTGGCAATGGTGTGGGCGGCTTCCGCGTGATGCTTCTGGCCCGCGGGCCGGCAGTTTGACACCCCTGCTCCAGCCTAAATAAACAACCTGAACTGTTTCCATCCAGGTAATAACTTCTAAAAAAATGCATACAAATACTGTACACACATACACACACAGAGAACCAAGAGGACATCTGAACATGGCTTATCTCTTGCAATCTACAACCCCCATGTAATTTAATTGATAGTAGGATGAGAAGTTTTTAAATCTCAGTCATATGAGCATAGAAAAAGCATAGTAACACAAAAGAGTTTCACTCATTCTTGTTGAAGTATTTATTCAAATAGTTAATGCTTCCAGGTCCTTTTTATCAGAATGAAGTAAACAGATATTTGTCATGTTACTTATGTTCAAATAGGTAGTGTTACAAACCTGCTGAAATTAAGAAGAAAACTTACAGTTTACATTTCCTTGTCCAGACATCTGCCTTGCTTGAGAATGTTAGAAATTTTTGAAAACTATTGACCTCTGGCTTACACCTTTCGATTTCATCTTTTTTTCTAGGTATAAAGGATAAGCCAGGAAATTATATTAAAACACAGCATGCCTCCAATTTGTAATTTGCTGCCCAACATTCTAATCTAAGTTAATTTCATCACATATGATATATGCAAACTGTGCTGATCCAACACTGCCCACCTCCTTTTCTAACGATAGAATAAGGAGATTGTGTGGACTGTTTCACCATCACAATCTGCAAAGCGTAAGTAAAATCTTATTCAACTTGTCTCATTTTTGGGTTTTTTTGTATATAGTTTCAGTTTTGTGCTCATTCTATATAAGGTTACTTTAGTATATACACTGTCACTCTATAACATAAGGGTTTTTTGGGGGTGAGGGAGTTGCCCTTTACTTATTATCAGTTCTAATTACATTAAGATGAAGCACTTTTTTTTCTTCTGTTCAATCATGTCTGATTTTTGGAAATTATTTTCTGCAGTTTTCTTGGCAATTTTTTTTTCAGCAATGATTTGCCCCTGTGTCCTTCTTAGGGCTGAGAAAAAATGACTGGCTCAAGGTCACCCAGCTTTCTTTCAGCAAAAGAAAGGATTACTCTGGATCCAACCTTATATTTTCCAAAATTACTATTTTACTCTATATAGAAAAATGATATCTGAAATCTAATTTGAGATAACATTATAGATCAGCTCTGACAAGAATGTTCAAAATTAGCATGTCACCGAATAGTAGTGTATCATACACCAACCGATTGATTCTCCTGAAATATAAATACTTAGTTTTATGTTTTTTTCTGATTGACTTGTGGAATTGTCTGCTTCCATATCTTGCCATGTTATTAGATTACTATAGCTCAGCACTTCAAATAAAATGACACTTATTAAATCACTTCTTCTGAGAACACCAGTTTTCAAATAGGCTATTTCACAGTAATGATCTTTCTGCATTTTTAATAATAATAATAATAATAATAATAATAATAATAATAATAATAATAATAATAATAGTAGTAGTAGTAGTAATAGTAAAGTTGGAAGGGACCTTGGAGGTCATCTAGTCCAACCCCCTGCTCAGGCAGGAAACCCTACACCATTTCGGACAAATGGCTGTCCAGTCTCTTCTTAAAAACTTCCAGTGTTGGAGCATTTACTGCTTCTGGAGGCAGGCTGTTCCACTGATTAATTGTTCTCACTGTCAGGAAGTTTCTCCTTAGTTCTAGGTTGCTTCTCTCCTTGATTAGTTTCCACCTGTTGCTTCTTGTCCTGCCTTCAGGTGCTTTGGAAAATAGCTTTTTCTTTCTTACTACCAAGAACAACAGTTAAATAATCAACTTATTCTAAGAAAATTTGGTTAAATAGCTGCTTCCTCAAAAGTAGGAAGGGAGAAAAAAACCCTTTCCCCATGGAACTATATGACATCTTGATAGAAACGTGTTTCTATCCTACATGTTAAAACAACAAATGATATATCTAGATGTGTTCTATTTCAGTGGTATTTTCTAAAGAAATACTGGTAGTATACACAACAGCAACACCTTTTATCTCAGAACTAAACTCTCAAACACTTATTTTCCTCCTTCCTCTCAGCTGAAGTGAAATCCCAAGAATGTAGCCATGGGCTCTTGTTTACATTCTCACTCCCCATGTTTCTTGGAAACTGGATCAGCCTGTCACATTCCACTGAGCCAATACTATATAAAACAAGAGTCCTTTTAGAATATGGCACCTGATTATCAAGCCTCCATCTCAAGCACTGATGTTACAAAATAAGCGAAATGCTTGTAGGATTAATACTGATTGATAATATCTAGAAGGAGAGGTGCAACAACAATTCCATCATAGCAAAGAATGTGGGTCATTTTAAAGGATTATTGTGTCAAATTTTTATGGACCAGAGATTACATTACCAAAATTGTACCCCATAAATAAATCTGTTAATCTCAAGGATTGTATAGTTTATTGTTGAGAATTATTGGAATTCTTGCCATAGGCACTTTGCAAATATATTTTAATGAGGTACAGTGGTCCCAACAGCATTGCCCATAACATTATTTCAGCTTGATCACTGAACAAAACAGCACAATAAATACATTATATTGTAAATGGAACAGGCATTTACATATGAAATGGGGTTTTAGCCTAAGCTTCTCCAATTTCTATTCTTCAGTGTGCAAGATTTTAAAAAAGGAGGAGGAACATTAAATCTTATAAGGGCTTTTGTCCTTATAACATGATGCGTTTTTGTTTAAATGTATAAAGGTAATGAATATAGTAACACAAATGTTGTTTTCTGTTTCTCTACATAGGACAATAAATTAATTCCAATAAATCTGTTTCCTTAAGATGTCAAAGAAGAGGAACAAATCTACACTTAAGAATCCTCTGTCTGAATCAGAAATTAGAAAACTCCAATCCCAATCCACTTCAGTTGCAATCTTTATGGTTTTGATGCCTGAAGAGAAGTTTCAGTAACGCCTCCCTGACTCACTGAATAGTAGCTAACTAAAGTGTTACCAGAATCTAATTCAACACTGACAGCAGATTGGCTGGGTGTGGTGGGGGCTTGTGGGATATGGAAGAGATTAACAGTGCTGTTTATATAAATGCATTTGCAATTTGCAGTAGATCCACAAATGATACCTATTCTTTGACAATAATTAAATGTATTTTTCTAGTAAATTAGGCTGCTGAAAAAGAATGTTTAGAAGAACTATTTTTATATGAAAGGACTTATAAATCACAAATACATACTCTGTGCATGTTTTCAAAGGAATCTTATTCCATAATTTTTTGAAGTATGCTTTGGGTTCCTCCTGGCAGTATTTGGATAGAAGATTAGTAAGGAATTTCAGGGCTGTTAACTAAAGTGGGAATTAAAAGCAAAGCCCCAAAAGACAGTGGCAAGCTATTTCTAGCATCCTGCCAAGAAAACTTCATGGAACAGGAGCTGAACTCAATTCAAAAGCATCTTTCCTTTCCCCACCCTCTTCTTTTGTTTTGCACAGGCTCTGAATGGTGGATGCCAGGCTTCTGGAAAGAAACAGAGTCAAGGCTCTAAATTTAAAGTCATCCCAGCTCTCTTTTAAGCCTTGGCACAACAGCACTAGTAGGTTTGAGCAATATAAAAAAATGAAACCCAGGGGCCAGCAATATTAGAGAGATGCATTTGCACCTCGTAACTGAACCCTGACAACCTTGAATGAAACTAAAAATACACCAGTAAAGAAGCATCTAGTCTTACTTCCATTCAAGCATAATCTAATCTAAAATCCCCAGAGATTTTGCTTTCACAGAGAGGGAAGCCTCTAGTCACTATGGTAGCAGCAACAGCCACGAAGAGCCTTTTATCTGGCATTCACTGATGATATATTTATCAGCCTATCTAACCTGTTAGTCAACATTCAGAAATCCTATAGTATATTGTGGATTTTCTGCCCCAATTCTCATTGGAGCCACAAGCTACTTGTCTGATTCTGTACCTTTACAGTCGGAATCGTCTGTACAATCAATCCTGTTTTTCAGGGTAATGCTGCCAGAGCATTGTATACGCAGTTTCAGCAGTGTCTCATTAGGCATTGGGTATAATTCTATCTAACCATTGATTAATCATATGCCAAAATTATCAGAAAAATATCTGAATTACCCCTAGATTTAAGTTTTTAAGTTGAACTATTAAACAAAAGCAGGTGTTTAAAATATATTTAAAGAACAATTTCTCTCTCTCATATATATATTCACATACATACACACGCAGACCCAGACATAGTGCATTCAGAAAGTATTAAGACTCCTTTCACTTTTGTCACTTTCATCATGCTGCAGCCTGATTCTACAATTGTTAAAATTCATTTTTTTCTTATTAATCTAAACTCAGTTCCCCATAATCAAAAAGCGAAAACAGACATTTAGGAATGTTTGTAAATTTATTAAAAAGAAAAAAACTGAAATATCGCACTGACATAATAAATATTCAGACCCTTTACAACAACACTTGAAATTTAGCTCAGATACCTCCCAGTTCTCTTGATAGTTGCTGACATGTTTCTACACCTTGATTGGAGTCTATCTGTAGTAAATTAAATTGATTGGACAGGATTTGTAAAGGCACACACTTCTCTATAGAAGGCCTCATAGCTGACAACGCATACTATAGCAGAGCAAAAGCTATGAGGTCAAGGGAACTGCCTGCAGAGCTCAGAGACAGGATTATTGCAAATATTTGGGGAAGGCTACAGTAAAATGGCTGCTGTACTGAAGGTTCCTAAGACAACAGTAGCCTCCATAATTCTTAAATGGAAGAAGTTTGGCATAACCAGGACTCTTCCAAGAGCTGGTTGCCCAGTTGAACTGAACTTGGGGGAGAAAGGTCTTGGTAAGAGAGATAACCAAGAACCTGATGGTCACTCTGACTGAGCTCCAGAGATCCTATGTGGAGATGGGATAGAATTCCAGAAGGATAACCATCACTGCAGCCCTTCACTGATCTGGGCTTTATGGCAAAGTGGTTAGATGGAAGCCTCTCCTCAGTGCAAAACACATGACTGCCCATTTGGAGTTGGAGTCTACCTGAAGAACTCTCAGACTGTGAGGAACAAGATTCTGTGGTCTGATGAAACCAAGATTCAACTGTTTGGCCTCAATTCTAAACGTTATGTCTGGAGGAAATCGGGCACTGCTCATCACCTGTCCAATATCATCCCAACAGTGAACCATGGTGGTGAAAGCATCATGCTGTGGGTGTGTTTTTCAGTAGCAGGGCCTGGGAAGTCAGGGTTGAGGGGAAATTGAATGGAGCAAAGTATAGAAATATTCTCAATGAAAACCTGTTCCACAGCCCTCAGGACCTCAGACTGGACCAAAGGTTCACTTTCCAACATGACAATGATCCCAAGCACACAGACAAAACAACAAAGGAGTGGCTTAGACACAACTCTGTGAATGTTTTAGAGTGGCCCAGCCAGAGTCCTGACTTGAGCCCTATTGAACATCTCTGGAGGGACCAGAAAATGGCTGTCTACTGATGGTCGCCATCCAACCTGACT